CCCCCTGAGAAAATTTATGAGAGCGGCAGGCCTGTGGAAACCAGGACAGACGGTGGGAAACGTTTTGTACGGAGGTGCTGAAATGATGTCTGTCTATTTTGATATGGCTCTTGGATGAGTGTAAAATCCACACAGGATATAACAACGTTTGTTTTCAACCTGCTTGTGGAGACTATCAGAGATCATAAAGAAAACAAGAAGATGAGGAAAACAATAAAGAGAAGATGGAATAGAACTGTGAATACTATTTGGATAGAACTGTGTATATTAAAGCAGCAGCAAGAGAAATGTTTGGATCCCGTTTGGAGCTTGAAGTATGGGTACCCCCAACAAAAAATTTAAAATTTGGCTGTGTAATTTGGAATTAATGTGATTTTATTGGCCTGTTAATAAAAATTATTTAAATAATAATAATAATAATAATAATAATAATAATAATTTATTCCATCAGCAGTGTACAGTCTGGTTATTTGCTGCTCTCATGCATCACATAATGCAACTGCCTGGGTAAATGAAAGGAGCAGCTAGATCTTCTAGGCGAACTGTGTAGGTAGCTTTTGCATACTATAACGTTAGTCTGGAACTTGCCACTCACTTTTTACCTAGGATCCATACAATATTATTGCTAGCCCATTATTTTCTAGATGTCTCTATATTGCTTTTCAAAAAATTTCAAACCTGTTTTGCGCTCTCTCGCTCTCTCTGTGTGCGCGTGTGTGTGTGTGTGTGTGTGTGTGTGTAATACAATGCAGTGTCAGTGCAAAATATCCAGTATGGACTGGCCAAGATATATAGAGACCTCTCAGGTCTAATGAGCCTTTAATTAAAAGGTTCCTCCAGTTTGTCTCCTTTTTATTGCTTCTAGTTGAGGATAATGTGATAATACTAGTGAATAACCTTTGAATTGCCCTGTGACTAGCTTCCAAATTGTTCTTTAATGAGAGTCACTGGGAGTGGGGGGGGGGAGTGTCTTAATTACAAGTTGCTTCTCTTCCCACCCTCACCCCACCCTTATTTCCCATTTGTTATTGTGAAATCACTCAGTTTTGCTATAAAGGTAAAACAGATGAGAAGAAATGTCCAATGGTAGGGCTTGCTTTGACAGGCAGGCACCAAGGCTGATGGATCTTCTTCATCCTCTTTATTATAAAAGCAGGGGAGCAGGTTAGAGAGGACATTTCTGTATCTCTCTCTCTTCTTTCCAAAGCTTGTCCAGCTTCAAAAGGCAAGGAAAAATGGGACTGCAAAATAGATTAAATTCTTTGCAGATTATTTTCTCATAAGGTAAAGGTGTTGAGAACGCAAGAGGGATGTCACAGACCAGTATACAGTGGTACCTTGGAAGTCGAACGGAATCCATTCCGGAAGTCCGTTGGACTTCTAAAATGTTTGGGAAACAAGGTGCAGCTTCCAATTGGCTGCAAAAAGCTCCTGCAGCCAATTGGAAGCCTCAACGGACATTTGGGTTCCAAAGAACATTTGCAAACCAGAACAATCACTTCCGGGTTTGTGACATTCAGGAGCCTAAATGTTTGACTTGCAAAGCGTTCGACTTCTGAGGTACGACTGTACCACAATAATTCCTGAAGAGATCCTTGGCTAGGAGAATGGATACAAGGTACTTCAGCTTCTTGTGAGATAATGTTAATGTTTTTGTTTAAAACACTTATCTTAATTAAAAATGGTAGGGATAAATATGAAAGTACAGAAGGAGAAGGAGATAGGGAAATGCTGTGTGTGTGTGTGTGTGTGTGTGTGTGTGTGTGTGATATTTTAGTAATCTAGTTATTGGAAGACCTCAGGTATAACCTACAAGTATATTAGTTAATCTATGAGAAGGTGCTGAGAAATTATTTGTAGCTTGTCACCATGGGTACAGTAACATGTTGCAAGGACATGATTTTGGTGGTAGGTGTGACTAGAAAAAGAATAATCTAACAACAGTATAAAGTGGTAGACTAGCAAAAGTAGTTTAACTAACAATACAGTTTACTTGGAAGCAAGTGACTATGTTCAATGGGGCTTGCTTCTAGTGAAGTTCTTAGCGCTGCGCTATAAATTAAATAAGTGCCTGACATTTTATTGGAGCGTCATCACAGTGTTTGAAAGAGTCTGGTCAGTTTTAGTGTTTAATTTCTTACTGTTGAGAATCTGAGAAAGGAGGAAACTTTCCCATCATATTGCACTCTTGGCATGAAAGGCCACATCTTGCATCAACCATATTCAATAATGTGGCTCTGAACTTTGAGCTGTGATTTGATATAGCAGTATCTTTCCTCACCCTTATTACCTAACACTTACCAGCCTGTCCACTCTTGGCTGATAATGAGCCTACTTCCTTTCATGCCTATCAGCATGCTTTTGTGTTAGCTACAGCATTAAATTACCTAAAATAACTCTTTTCTTGATAATAATAACAATCCTATTGACCTCCTGCTATGAAGAATGACATTAACTGTTCTAATTCTTTAGCTTGCCTTGCTTGGAAGACATTGTACTGTCTGCTCTTAGAACACATGAAAATACACACCCTTTAATGTTTCTCCCCACATCTCAAAAAAGAAGACCTTAAAATATTTCAGTCAGGGAGACCTTTGCCATGACTGTTAACTTTTAGGTGAATAAGAAACCTGGATCCATCTCATTTTTTATATATATAAAAATGAATTTCTAGAACTATCAGCTATTGAATGGAGCGGCGATGAAACAGAGAGGGACATCTGGCTATTTTTCTGGAATGGAGGATAATAGATGACAACCTTTCTGTGTGTACTTGTCCTTCTCCAGAAGGTCAGAGCAGTAGAGCTGTCAAGAAGAAGAAGAAGAAGAGTTTGGATTTGATATCCCGCCTTTCACTCCCCTTCAGGAGTCTCAAAGCGGCTAACATTCTCCTTTCCCTTCCTCCCCCACAACAAACACTCTGTGAGGTGAGTGGGGCTGAGAGACTTCCAAGAAGTGTGACTGGCCCAAGGTCACCCAGCAGCTGCATGTGGAGGAGCGGAGACACAAACCCGGTTCCCCAGATTACGAGACTACCGCTCTTAACCACTACACCACACTGGCTCTCAGAAATTATTCGGAGATAAGCATCTGGTTGGCTCCTGTGAGAACAGGATCCTGGACTAGATGGGCCATTGGCCTGATCCAGCCAGTGAAAACACAGTTTGAGCAATAAGAGCAATAAGTATTTTCAAACTCCTGTCTCTTCAAGTGGAAGTAGTCAATAAGAGCAGATCGCTATCCCCAAAATCCTGCATTTACTTATTTTCTGAATAGTTGTATGAAATCATTCACTGTTGCCTCTCAGCACTTTGGAGCACTAAAAAAAATGGAGGGTTGGTTTGTCTGTATTCCTTGGCCTATTGAAGCTTTGCCACCAGTTGGCACCTCATTCTTTCAGCTGCTAGACAGGGACAATTATTGCCACTAATTTCCAATGCTGACAAACCAGCATCATTTCAAAGCAGGAAATGCAGAAACTCTCACCCCCTCTGGCCACTGCTCCAATCTGTCAATTATAAAATTTCATCCAAGAATGCTTCTGTATGCCAACTTGATTTTGTGTATGTGTCAGAAAACTAGTATGGGATAGAATAATAACAGTAAGGCAAATGTGGATGAGAATGCCAGATACCTATGGACATTTTATAAGTGTCTGCATCTGCTTTTACTTGGAACACTCCTTTCCAGTTATATAGCACTATTCTAATGAAAGCCAAGCATATGTGGTAGAATTTTATGATTGCTTTAATTACTTAGTTAAACAGCGATGGCTAGCCTCCCACACGCAGCAGCCATGGTACGCTGTGAAATTCTTTTCTCTCCCCACGTTTTTAAAAGGTATATCAACAGTGTTTTTCATTTATTTATTTATCTTTCTAAACAAAGTGTGAGAACATTTGAAAATACAATTTCCAGCATGCCAAATGATATATTTAGCCTTTGTGAACCCTGATAGTTTTAATAAAATATAACTTTCTACCTTTGATACAGTTGTTTGTATCTCTTGTTAGACTCCCTTTTGACTCTAAGTCTCTGTGATGTTGTCTGTAGTGACTTCTCCTCCTGCATGACTAATTGTTGTTTCGATGTTTCCTCAAGAGAAATTTTCTTGTCTCCTTTTTCCATAGGAGTCCCTCAGTGCTCTGGCTTTAGCCCCCACCCTACCCCATTCTGACCTATGTGCATAAGCAGTCATTGAAGAGTGTTATGGTGTATCAACGTTGTGCAAGCGGATTTCTGCTTGCACAAAGTAGCTTTCTCTTTTTCTCCTCTTCCTGGGTGCCCCCTATATCTGCACCAAAGGGTACCCCAAACCACTGGAGAAAATTTTGAAGGCAGGTGGGGGGCTGCAGGTGGCAGGAGAGCCTAGGCAGTTTATTAAACTTTTAAGAAGTATAAATGTGTCAAAATTAATTGCATTTCTGGGGGTAAGACTGGATTATGAATATGGTACCTACATTTGTACCCCATTCTTCAGGCAAAAAAAGCCTTCCGCAGTGGCTAAGATATAATCAAAATAAGACAGCAGTCCCTACCCACAGGCTTACAATCTGACAACTAAATAAATAAATGCCATGGAAAGGGGACAGGGAGGGAAGAGGAAAATCAAAATCAAAACTCAGGCACAATTTTTTCAACAGTTTTTACTATAATGACCAGCTGGCACTGTTCAGGGACAGGAAGTCCCTGATGGAGTTGGGCTTCCAGCCAATTTGGAGAAATGAGCCCTAATACCTATCTCTCCCACTGTGGCAGCCTGATGGAATGGCTGCCCCAGGTGAATGTCGAAGGAGAGGAGCCCTCATGAAGCTGGCCTGTTGCAGCAGAGCTGGTGGAACAAGCTATGCTTCCCAGCATTCCCACATTTGTGTATTATCTGCCTTGTTTTAGCCAAGAAAATAAAGCTTATTTCACGTCTCCCATCATTTTTTGTAAAACAAAAACCTATTAATTCCTGCACATAGATGATATTCAGGGTCACTTCCAATTCTATGATCCTTTCAAATATACAGTGGCTCAAACCTGCAACCTTGTCATTATGAGCACCACACTCTAACCAGCTGAGCTATCCAGCCTGCTACATGGACAAAGTGTGCTATACACAAGAACACAGTTCATGGGCAAATAATGTCATTTTTCAAGGGCAGACAAATATATCAGAAGCAAAAAACAACAACGCCCCATGTATATTTAAAGAGGAAATGGCCCGTCTCATTACTACATGGAACCATAGTCCTATTATTGTCACAGTTCAGGAAATTTCTGTATTCATAATAAGAACATTTAACATACGTCTGTCCCATTGGTAGCGCTGTGGGTTTCCAGTGTCCTAGATATGTCACCCTTGTCTAGAATGCTGTGAACCTCTCTTTGTTAATCTGAATTAATGAGCAGATGATGTCCAGCTGGACTGGAAAGAATAACAACCTTCCATAGGTAAGGATAATTGGTGTACCTATAGAGCATATTCCAAGTAACAGTTACCATGCTTTAAGGAGTTACATCCCCCCCCCGCCCCACTCCCTAATAGATATTAATGGATTTAACAAGTCGTTAAGAAAATGCAAAGCTTTTTTTGTGCCATTAGACAGCTTTTATTATTTCATGTGCTACAAGATCTCTGGTGCATTGGTTTTAGCCATAATTCAAGGTGCTGAATTATAAAGGCCTATGAGATTCTCTTCAGTCTGTCTAATTCTGCTTGCCTGGGAGAAAGGATTATTTATAAATACAACCATGAACTTAGCTAAGTGAGCCAATCTTATACTTGTTTCAGGCTATTGTAGAAAAGAGAAAGAATTAGATGAAATTTAAGACTGAGCTTTAGTTGAACTGGATTTAAGAATTTTTCCAATAAACCATTAAGCCATTGTTCAATATATGTCATCTCTTTCATGATAGTTTCATGCAATCTAAACAAATTCTTATTTAACAATCTAAAGTTTAATGATAGAAGCATCAAGGTCATAAGATCACGGGGCAAGATCGAACAATACATATCTTAATAACAAACAAAAACACACACACACCCAACACACACAGTTTAAAAGGCCATAGATTGCTTAATTAGCTAAAGGCCTGGGATAAGAAGAATGTTTTTGTCTGGCACCTAAAGATATGTAATGGAGGCGCCAGGTGAGCCTCCCTGGGGAGAGTGTTCCACAAACAAGGAGCCACCAATGAAAAAGGCCCTTTTTTGTGTTGCCTCCAGACCTCTGGCAGAGAAGGCACATGAGATGGGCCTCAGATGATCAGGGTTGGTTCATGGAAGATAAGGCAATTGATGGCTACTAGTCGCAATAGTTATATTACTTCCAGTAGTCGTGGCAGTAAGCTTCTGAAGACCAGTTGCTGGTGATAACAAGTGGGAAAGTGCTATTGAGACTGGGGACTTTCCATGGTCATCTGGCTGGCCACGGTGAGCTCAGGAAGCTGGACCTGATAGATCTTGTCTGAGTGTGATCTCTTATGTTTAGTATAATGGTGAGTATAATTTCTATTAGAAAAATATAGATGTTCCTTATTCTGACAACATATCAACACAGCACTTTCCTCAAAATAAGCTTCCCTCCATTTTAATACTTTGGTCTGACTAATCAAGTACTCTGTTTGTAACCTAATATAATCTCATGTTGACAGTGTGAGAAACAATTTTTACACCCTGCAGTAGCCACAGGGCAGAGAACAATTTATAAATGTATATTCACCTCAGCCAATGCCATTCCATCATCTCCCAGTTATCTAACTTTACTCCCAGGACTGTATCAGTCTTCCTTGCCTGAACTATTTTCCTTTATTTCTGATGTTGAAATTAAGGGCATTGCTTACATAAAAATCATTTAAAGCAACCATCAATCTCTACCATAAATTATACATGTATGGGATTGCATGGCTTGTTTAAGCATTTTTCTTCAGGCAGTCTGTAAAAAAAGTATGTTATATTGACCGAGGCTCAAGTTCTAAAACATTTGCCAAATAAGAGTGAAATAAATATATGACTATTTCAGATAATAGTTAATTGCCAAATTGTGTTCCTGAAACATTTGAAAATCGCTATTAAACTCTTGATATTTGAATAGTGCTGTCTCAAGCTTGTGTCAAAAGGGCCAATTGTTCTGATATTTTAGAAGGGTTAGTTTGGGAAATACAAATTGAGAATTTGTGTAGTTAAGCTATTTTTTAGTCTGATGGTGTAGATTAATAGCAGAAAGAGAAATAATAAATCAATGATAACTAACGGCTATAAATGTAGTAAATCAATATTCCCCCTCCTCCTGGGTTTCAGCGAGAAAAATAATAATGGATGCTAAAACAATGTATTTGACTTCATTCATGAGTCCTTTTCTTTGGGTCTTTTTTATATTTCAGTGCTGAATTAATTCAGAATGCCTGAGGAATATTGAATATTAAATTCTATTATATTTTGTTTTCATTTGGGACAAAACTTTTTATGTTTTACCTATGTAACTTAGAAATATTTACCAACAACTTTATTTTCAATATGCATAGTCTTTTAAATAAATAAAATTACTTTTTTTGCAAAAGAAGACGAACTAAAGAGAGGTAGGCTTTAAAAAATAATAAGAAATACCTGCAATATTAAAAGTTTGAAAATATTCTGGTTAAGGTTACTAAAAAGATTGCTTATAATGAGCTCAGCTTTGACAATAATATCCAAACACATACAGATTTGTTGATATTACATAACAGTTCAAAACACTAAATATATATTTTAATTATTTACAAAGGACTAGCAGCCTCACACCCAGCATTGCTCAGGAAATCTAAGAAACCCCCCCCCCAAATCATTTTAGTTTTGAAAGGTTCTGCTGACCATCTTGGTTCAAAATGGCATCCTGCAAAATGACAACTGCAAAGAGGACATGGGGATTTTACTACAAGTACAGCCTTAGACCATATAGGATACTGTTTCAAAACTTGTGTTGAGCATCTTTTCCATCCACTAGGGAAATACTGAGGGGGTCACAACTTCCCCTCTTGCATGCTAACAAGGAAAACACTAATCTGCTCCCCATCCCAGGGGGGCAGGGTTGCAGTCCAGCCGTGCACTCTCCCTTTGTACAGTGGGGGGGGGCGTGGTGATGCCCCCAGATCACAGGGAGTCCCCAGCAGCATCACGGCCCCTGGCTGACCAATTCAGTCATCCAGGAGGGCATGGCTAGGGCAATTTAAATGGCCCCAGGGCCAGGGAAGCTCTCTCTTCCTCCTCCTGCATCGCCCACTAACCCAAATTCTGGTGCCTGTGTGATTTATTCTCAAGAATGGGGGAGGGCTCGGGGCCTTGACGTGCAAAGAATTTGCATTTAGATTAGCTTAGATTTAGTTCTAGCATTGCTTCGCTAGGGCATTCTATAGCAAATACTATTTTATTTTTAGGAGATCAAAAATATTTATGCCACTTCTAACTCTAAACATTTTCTTGGAGTTATTTAATTTATTTTGAGAAATAAGTTTTCTTCTTGCTTACCTAGAAGAAGGTTTCTGAAGAACCACCTCCTCCCATATGAACCTCCACAGCTATCTTCCCCAGGACTTGCTCAGTAAAGATGAGGCCTTTTTTCTTATAGTAGCATCAAGATATGGTATCTCATCAGAAATAAGCTTGCTTTACTGCTTACAGTGTAGTTTTCTTTTTTTAAAAAAAAGTTAAATGCAAAACATTCATTTTCATTTTCAAGGTAGAAAATTTATAATATTCACAGCGGTCCATAGAGTGGCCATAGCACCAGGAAAAGTGTCTGATCATACCAAATTTCATGAAGGTACTTTACTTTTATTTTAACTCTTCTTCACACAGTCAAGATAACTTCCAGAAAGTTGATGAAATTGTACTTCTCGTCTTTTCTTCTCACATAATTATAATTGATTTTTATGTTCTGGAACACTTTTACTTTTTAAAGCATAGTCTACAGAGGCTTGTTAAGAAAACATAAAATCTAATGTCATCAGCGTTTCCTTCCTCCCTGTCAAAGCATAAAGTTCAAAGCTCTTGAAGTAATTGTAATGAGAGACATTGATAGCCATATTGAAAATGTCATCAGGATTGTTGATATCTGTTGTAAAAATGCACAATAAAATCAGAACTTAATTGAATAAGCAAAAAAAACCCCACAAAACACCCTTTCTTTGAAATGCTGTGGCAGCCTTTTGTGATTTATCATAATCTGTTCACAATTAGTATTGCAATACCTACCTGAAATCTCCCAAGACTTTATAGAGTTAATGTGAGCTATGGTAATATGAAAACTATTACTTTAAAGATGTATTTGGAGGCCTTGATCTCACAAAGGTAGTAAACCTGTGTCTGGACTGTTTCATTTCAGAGTGAAGCTGATTTAATGTGGCTGGGTTTCTTTGTTTTTCAAAAACCTACCACACATAGAAAACTAGACTCTACAAGTACAGTGGCACCTCAGGTTACATACGCTTCAGGTTACAGACTCCGCTAACCCAGAAATAGTGCTTCAGGTTAAGAACTTTTCTTCAGGATGAGAACAGAGATCATGCTCCAGTGGCGCAGCAGCAGCAGCAGCAGGAGGCCCCATTAGCTAAAGTGGTGCTTCAGGTTAAGAACAGTTTCAGGTTAAGTACATAACTCCGGAACGAATTAAGTACTTAACCCGAGGTACCACTGTACATATTCTGGTTAGCTTCCTAGTATTGCTTGCTTCCCTACATGAAGGATATATTTGTCTCAAGCAGCATTCTTAGACTCTCATCTTCAACCCAAGTTTACCACTTCAGTAAAACTAGGCCTGAATTGCCTAAAGAAGAGAGGGATAAATATGTTTTGAGGGGGGGAAGTACATTAAAAAGATGTGGTGTGGGGAAAAGGTTGGCATTAGAAGTGTTACTGAACAATAACTCCCATCATTCTTGACCACTGATCATGCTAGCTTTGGATTATGGGAGTGGAACCCAACAACATACTTAGGGCCACAGATTCTCCATTCTTGAAACAAAGAATTTGTGAGAATTTTAATGGGATTTAAAGAAAAATGTTTCTTCATCTTGAAGATGAAGTCAATAAAATGTCTGCGCTGGATAAGTA